TTGCGACTGTCCTCTAACACATGCTCTTAAGGGAGAGGGAGCAACTATATATTTTTTCGTATCTCTAGCCCCTATCATATGCCCACATCATAAAGGTAACCAATAAATACTTATTAAGTTGACTTTTATCATTGCAAAAACAACCAGTTGAACGTAGGGTAACCCCAGCACAACTGTTTGAAAAATACAGTAACGTGCTACAATTCAGTAACTCAAAAGACAATCCCCTGTGAGCAAGGTACTCATAAGTCTTTCCAATCATTGGAGTGACCAGAAAATCCATCTCAGAGCTAAGGGCATGGACATCAGTCTTTTAAAATTCTCCAAGTGAATCTCAGGGCGTTCAGAAAAGTTTAGGAACTTCTGTCGCATCTCTTTACAAAAGGACAAGATCATTCTTGCCAAGATAATGTGTTACCTGGTCTAGTCTGCAGTAAAAAGGAGTTCCATTTATGGTTTATTAGTTATAGCTGAAGAATTTCCTTGGAGCTAATAATTTATGTGTAAGTGTTAGCAGTGTTTACAGGCAGCAGCAGTGAGGAACAATGCATTCCATCGAGGATTAGATTACTGGTGAGTCATGAAATGGGCATTTTACACATGGAAGCTACCAGATCTCTTGGCACACAAAACACTCCAAATTTCTGCATTGACTAGAGCAAATAATCAGCCTGTGTAAGAAAAGAACTCATTGGGCCTGGCGGCGTGGCCTAGCAGCTGAGGTCCTTGCCTTGAGCACCCCGGGATCCCATATGGGCGCTGATTCTAATCCCGGCAGCTCCACTTCCCATCCAGCTCCCTGCTTGTGGCCTGGGAAAGCAGCTGAGTTTGGCCCAAAGCCTTGGGACTCTGCACCCATGTGGGAGACCTGGAGGAAGTTCCTGGCTCCTGGTTTTGTATCGACACAGCACCGGCCATTGGGCTCACTTGGGGAGTGAATCATCGGACACAGGATCTTCCTCTCTGTCTCTCGTCCTCTCTCTATATCTAACTTTCCAACAAGTAAATAAATCTTTTTAAAAAAAAAGAAAAAGAAAAAGAAAAGAACTCATTTAGGACTTAAGTGACTTTCAGTGGTATCCCCCTGGTTTCTGCTTTGTCTTAATATGAGTTATTCCTCGTGATAAAATCCAGTACCCTATGAGCCACCATCAAACATGCAATTGTAGGGTAGGCATTTGATCTCACAGATAAGATGTTGGTTGGGATGCCCGCATCCCACTTTGGAATGTCTGGGGTCCTGTGCCAGCTCTACTTCCAATTTCAGCTTCTTGCTAATATACCCACCACTGGAGACAACAAGTTAATGATTCAAGTGATTGGAGACTTGGATTGAGTTTATGGCTCCCAGCAGACAACTTTGGAGTGAACCAGTGGTCGGGAGCTTCCTCGGTCTCTGAATCTTTGTCTCAAATTTAAAAAGAAAAAATTCATTAATTAAGCTTGGCGGAACAAAGTTCATAGAAAAACAATCTAAATGAAGTCATCAGAGGAACATAGGCCTCAACAAAGCAAACCTGGACCTTTCAAAATGACAATGTCATGGAGGAAAAAGATGAAAATGCCACAGCCAGCACATGCGGTGTATGAGCCTGGATTGATCATGAACTGGGGGGAAAAAAATCTAAAATAAACATTTCTTTGCAACCAGTTGGTGGAAATTTACGTGTAAACTGAGATGCTAGCTAATATTAGGGATGTCTCTCATTAAATTTTCTTGTTATTGGGTCTGTGTTCTTACCCTGAGAGGTGTGTGTTATCCTTTAGCCAATGGTGGCCAAGACAAGTCCTAGCAACCCAGAGTCTACTGTTAAATATTCAGGAAGTTTGTGATCTCAAGACTCTTGGCAGCCTGAAACTGCCCTGGTGGGAGTATTGATACCACGGAAAGCTGCAGATGCTACATCGAGGGCTTTTTCCCCCTGGAGAGCTCATTTGCCAGCATCCACTGCCTGCAGCTTGCTTTCAAATGGTTCCAGGGAAAAAAAGAAAAACACCCATAGATAGAACAAAAATGCCAAAATATTCACAACTATCAAATTCTCAGTAGAGAATGTATGGCCACTCACTATGCTAGTCCAGGAATCAGCGGGCTTTTTCTGTAAAGGTCAAGTGTATATATTTCAGAGCTGAAACTCAGCTCTGCATTGCTGCCTTTCTGGCACAAAAAAGCAGCCATGGACCAGACCTTGCATAAATGAATGAATGTGGCTATGTTCCAGCAAAACTGCTTACCAAAACAAGGGATAGATTCAGCCCAGGGCCACAGTCTTTCAGTGTTTCTCTACTTTTAAGATATTCCATAGTAACATCATGGGTGTGGGGTAGAGGAAGTGTACATTTCTCAGCCTGATTTGCAGAGCCTCGTGGGCCCCTGGCAGTCTGCCACACTCACCTGTCGTAACTCCCTGGGCAGTCCACAGCTCCCTTGCTGCCCACAACCCCATGTCTTCTTCAGATTCCTCTCGATGTTCCTGTGAAGTCAGTCTGTTCCAGTCAAAACGGCACGTCATTCCTCTCCAAGCTACAGTGCTACATTTTCACTAATTTTCTCACACTGGCATTCATTTGCTCCTAAAGCGCGTTGTACTTTTCACATGTAGTAGGTGTTCAGTTTACTGCTAAGCTGAGCTTCCCAGTCCAGTCATACAGAGATCGGCATACTTGCAAAGGACTAAACTAAAAATCTGGAATTGGGAGAGGATGTTGGCCTAATGTAGGCTTGAAAGGATTAAAGGTATTGAAAATAAGGGAATTTGTTCCTATTTTCGTAATCTTTCAAGCAACCTTTGGGATTACTAGATATTAAGCCAAAGTAGGCTTGATCAGAGTGGGGAAGGAAGCTTCCTTGGCAACAGCTTAAGGTTTGGGAAGGGAAAGCGGGTCATCTCAGCCCAGTGTGACGTAGGCACTGTCAGCCACTCCAGACTGTCTCATTTGGCCCCCCCACAGCCTCCCAAGGGTAATATTGTCCCCACTTAGAACTGAGAGCAGTTTAGTGGCTTCCCTGAAATTAAGCCTAGGAGTCTGAATCTGGCAACCTCTGATATCTCAGTATTATCTTAGTGTCTTTGTGCATCCAATGATCAGCAATAGACCTGTGAAATCTGGCTGAAATGATCTCATGATTCATGTGTAATATGGAAATGTCTGTGGAGAGCGAATGTCCTGAGAGAGTTTACTGTCAAGTTTCACTGTACACTGGGGCCCATGCCGTGCTGCAGTGCTGGCCTCCCAGCATCCTTACGGGAGTGCCCGTTGGAGTCCCAGCTGCTCCTCTTCCAATCCAGGTCAGTCTGGGAAAGCAGCAGGAGATGAGCCCAGGTACTTGGTCCCCTGCCACCCATGTGGGAGGCCCAGATGGAGTTCCAGGCTCCTAACTTCAGCTTGGCCCAGCCCCAGCCATTGTGACTAGGGAGTGAACCAACAGTGGAAGGTCTTTGTCCTCTTACAGAGCTGGGTAAGTGAAGGGAGAATGGAAAGACAACACGGGGTAATGATGTTACGCTCTGGAGTTGACAGGGAACTCTGGGAGCCCACGGTCCCAATGGGGCTCCAGCCTCCTCCCTCACCCCACTCATCATCCTTGCTGAGTGAGCACATTCCAGCCTGGGGGAACCTGGGGGCCTGGAAGGGGATGAGTCACCCCAAGGGAGAGGGTAGGTCACCTCTAAGAACTGTTAGCTACTTCCCTGCCCACCAAATACATGAGAAAGGGAAAATGGAAGACAGCCTAGAGCCAGATTGGGAAGGGAGTCCGCTGCCTCTTCAAAGAGCTTCGGCTCTTTTCCTAAGGCTGTTGGGAGGCAGTGGAGGGTTTTAAGCAAGATCGTATTTGTATTTTAAAATGAACTCCCTGGCCACCTGGCATGGCCTATGGAGGCAAAGAATTGTCGAGCTGATGATGGGAAAGACACAGATTATTGCAAGAAAAAACTCAGGCGGGAGATCCTGTGAGCCCAGACGAATACAGTGCCAATGGAAGTGAGGAATAGAGAATCTGTATGGGCACTTGCAGGGCAGAGGATGCCCAGGACCTATGGACTGTATCAGTTACCATGGCTGCACATAGTCTCACAGCCACCGTGATTCAAAACAACAAAGTCAAGGTCCTTGGCCATGATGCATGTCCGTTACAGGTGGGAGAGGCACTGTGGTGACCCTGGCAGGCTCCCAGGGATCCAGGCAGCTCCAGTAAGGATGGTGCATGTGCCGGGGGTACTCACTTGGACCACACGGTGCTGCCGCCAAGCAGTGGCCAGCTCACAGCTCACAGAGTAGAAAGCGTTTGTCGCCCTGGCCGCACCCACTCTCTGAGGACCAGAAAGCTCGGCTGCGATGTGCAACCCTGCCCTCACCTGGCTTGATGATTGGGTGTGAGGAGTGAAGAAGACTTCAAGAATTAGGCAGACATTTGAGACACTCACTGGGGGCCAGAAGACCAACCAGGGGCACAGGCATGGGGGAAGGCAGACCACGATTTCCGTCACCAAGAGGATTGGAAATCCAACTGGGCTCATCAGCTAGTTTCCTTGCTTCTGTACACGAATCAACTCTGTATTTTAAACATGCAGTGTTCAGATCTAATACTGTGCACCTTGCCTGAATCTTCATATAGACTATTGTGTCAACATATGGTGTGAAGGGAAAAAGTTTGTAACCAAGATGGATGTGGATGAAGCCTTCCTCTGCTGCATGCCAAGTACTCTCTCCTCCCTTCCAGCCACCCCAGCGTGGCACAGGGCACGATATCAGGGGTGGCAGCCATGGAGGTATAATCAAGCTGATTGAAGCCAGTGGTGCCCTCACAGCCCGAGGAAATGTTCCTGCCTCAAGATCACCAGGGAAATCACATCCTCTTTTCCTTCAAAGAACGTAGCAGAAACCCCAAAATCTGCATCCACTGCTCTCCCTCTTTGTTTCCCACCTGCCACCCCCCATGTAATTGTGATTGCATCCCTTAATAATTGACTTTTTATTGTGCATTTGTTTCTTAACAGTTGCGAGAAACAATCAAAGCTGGCAAAGGTGTGACTTCAGCGATTGACCTGTGTCGTTACCATGGAAACAAGGCCCTGGAGGCCCTGCAGCGCTTCCCTCCCTCCGAGGCCAGATCTGCTTTAGAAAACATTGTGTTTGCTGTGACCAGATTTTCATGACACCAAATTAAAAAGACCCCATTGTTCCGATGACTGAGACAACCTAAGCAGGGAGGTGATGGGGAGAGCTTTTACGATGAAATCTCTAAATGGGTTAATGACTTTAAAAAACAGACAACCCGCCACACACACCCTCACTGAGCCCCAAATCCTCTTATCATGTTGCTAAATGAATACTGCCTTCTTATTGCAACTGCTACCAACAAAATTTGGAAGAAGCAAAAAAAAAAAAAGGTCAAGCAGTTTTCACTTGTCACGCCAGAAGCACACTTGAAGCTGCAGCAGCAGAAATAATTAATGAGACTCGCTCCGTGACCTCAGCAAATGGACAGGAAATAAGTCCTTATTGATTGGACTGAGCTGGGGATGGCGCCAGGGCGGTGGCCTGCGGTTTCTCCTCCTACAGGGGACAGAGCAAGCTGCAGGTGTCACTCCAGCCACAGCGGCCAGGGTGGACCAGCAAACCAAGAATGAGCCACCCGTTTGTCATAACAGACCATTTTGATGAATTCAGGGAAAAAAAATTAAACAGAACATGCTGTTTTGTTCATCATGTCTCTGTGTCTCTAGATAACAATACAGTTACACTTTGTGTTCCATGGCTTTTGTAAAATTTGGGGACTGAGAGGGAGGTGCGATGGGGAGCATGTGGGCAGAAATAGCTGGGAAGTTGCCAAATATTCGCACTAGCAAATTAAAGTGTTAACAGATAATACCTTGCTTTGATGAGGAATTTTCTACCTTCTTTCGTATATGTCTGTGTTTAAAAAAAATTTTTTTTTTTTTACAAACTCTAATGAAAAAAGGAAGTTTCTATTACAGGGTGTCTGTGCGAGGGAGGTCATGTAGTATGTTTGTAATCCTTTGGCTTGTTAAAGATTTTTATTTTGTGTGAGTTGAAGAAATGTAATTGTTGTACCAGGTCCTCCACTGGTGAAAACCTTGGCCTTGAAGCACAGACGCCCAAGGCCCCCAGACGGGACACAGGGAGTTCGCGGGCCTGCCGCCGGCCAGCACCTCCGCCGGCCTCACGGGAGACGGCTTTGCGGGCTGTGTGCATGCAATATGAGAACGCGGTTGACAAGAAGGCTGAGTGTACATAAATGATCTAGATTGGGGCTCAGCTTGCTTTCTTCCTTCTGTGGTGTAATTACAGCCCTATCTGGAGACAGCGAACACGGCAAACAGATTTTATTACCCAGCTCACTCAAACATTCAGTCAAGTTATTTCACTTAGCGATTCCTCACTCTGAAAGCCACCCAAGTCATTTCATCAGCATGTGGCATGCCATAAAGAGAAAATGTGAAAGGACAGAGGCTTAAGGTATCCTACAACAGAAATACCTGTGTGGATACTTGAAACGCTGTAGCCATCTGTGTCACTAGAATGGACAGGCCTGGACTTGGAGTTTAAGAGAACAGGCCGCTCCCAAGTTTTCCTCTCTGTGATTGGCTTAATTAGTAACTGTGGTTAAGATGCTTGCTGTGGGACTAGGCTTTAATCATTAACTTCCACGAAGAGGGACTGGGGCAGTTGTGTGGTTTGGGTGAGCAGGGACTTGTGCAAGCTGGCTGGCTGGCTGCAGCGGGGCACAGGGCAAGACTCCAGGGCCCCTCTGGTGTCCAGCTCAGCCTCTGTTCAGCCCTTTGACCTTGAGCATGGCACTTCATCTCTGTTTGCTCATCTGCAAAATGAGATGATGTATAAATGAACGCCCTTCCGGGTTTACTTTGCTTTCTTACAAGTTTGGATTTCTGCCCAAATAAGTGTCAAAGATGCTAATGTGAGATTCAGGAAAAAGGGTATTCCGGCTCTTATGAGCAGGCGTTTGCCTAAGTGGTTAAGATGCTTGCCTCCCCTGTCAGAATACCTGGCTTCCATTCCTGGCTCCAGCTTTTGATTCTAGGATCCTGGGTGGCAGAAATAACTATTTTTTTAAATATTTATTTTTATTGGAAAGAGATTTTTACAGAGAGGAAAGATTTTCCATCCCCTGATTCACTCCCCCAAATGGCTGCAATGACCAGAGCTGAGCCAATCCAGAGCCAGGATCCAGAAGCCAGGAGCTTATTCCTGGTCTTCCATGCGGGTGCAGGGTTCCTACGCATTGGGCTGTCCTCTGCTGCTTCTTTAAACCACAAGCAGGGAGCTAGATGGGAAGTGGAGCAGCTGGGACTCAAACCGGTGCCCATATCGGACTGTGGCACTTGAAAGAGGAGAATTAACCAGTTGAGCCATCGTGCTGGCCCCTGAAATAATGCAGTTTCTTATAACTTCAAAAACCACATGAAAAGTAAAACTTAAAGGTAAGTTTATTTTGGTGTGAAAAATTTGGAAATCTGTGCCTAGTTTTTGTCTTACTAAACATTTTCCATGAACTTCTGAGACGCCCTCAATGACGCATAGCCCTGGACACTTCTGTCTACTTCCTTTGGAGATTTCCCCACCTTCCTCTCATCTTCTACCTGCATTCCTGTGCTCTGCTTCATTTCCTGAGTCCTTGAACTCTTGCCCTTGGTCCTGGATAACTGAATGCCCTCACTGTTGACTTACAGCTCCATCAGTCCTTTAGGGCTGCCTAGCCTCTCCCCAGATCTGTCTTAGCTCAGCTCTCACTTCTTCAATATGCTAGCAAGTTTTTGTTTGTTTTTTATAAAACCATGGCTAGGGCCTAGTGCAGTAGCCTAGTGGCTAGGGTTCTTGACTAGCAAATGCCAGGATCTCATGTGGGTGCTGGTTCTGGTCCTGACAGCCTTGATTTCCATCCAGCTCCCTGCTTGTGGCTAGGTAGGGCGGTCAAGGACAGCCCAGGGCCTTGGGATCCTGAACCTGCGTGGGAGAGCAGGAAGAAGCTCCTCGCTCCTGGCTTCGAATCTGCTCAGATCCAGCAGTTGCGACCTCTTGGGGAGTCAATCAGTGGACAGAGGATCTTCCTCTCTGTCTCTCCTTCTCTCTGTATCTGACTTTCTGATAAAAATAAATAAATAGGGACCGATGCGGTGGCCTAGCAGCTTAAGTCCTCCCCCTAAACGCACCGGGATCCCAAATGGGCGCTGTTCTAATCTCGGCAGCTCCACTTCCCATCCAGCTTCCTGCTTGTGACCTGGGAGAGTAGTCGAGGATGGCCAAAAAAATCCTTTTAAAAATAAATAAATAAATAAAATTTTTTTAAAAAAAAACTTGGCTAGTGCTGTGGCTCAATAGGCTAATCCTCTACCTTTAAGTACCAGTATCCCTTATGGAGCTTAGTTTATATCCTGGCTGCTGCAGTTCCCATTCAGCTCTCTGCTTGTGCCCTGGGAAAGTAATAGAGGTTTGCCCAAAGCCTTGGGACACTGCACCAGCACGGGAGACCCAGAGGAAACTTCTGGTTTCATATCAGCTTAACTCCAGCCATCGTGGTCACTTGAGGCGTAAAACAGCAGAAGGAGGATTTTTCTCTGAATCTCCTTCTCTCTGTAAATCTGCCTTTCCGAGAAAAATATATCTTTAAAAAGTAAAATAAAATAAAATCAGCTTTTAAAAAAATCTATTCAAAAAGTTGAAATACTCAGAGCATTTCTCCACGTCCCCTTTTTAGGGATTGTTATTTGTTATTTATTCTTATTAGCTGCTTACAATTTCAGAAAATGTCTTAAGGTGAAATTGGGGGCCCAGAGACATTCCTTAATCATACTTCCACCTACTGCCTGGAGAGGGCCAGTGAAAGTAATGAATGGTTAAACCAAAAAAAGAGAGAAAAGAAAGGAATGGTTTGGTTGATGGCCCTTGAGGCATCCCCCCCCACATCTCCAGCTTCCTATAGAGGGACGGGTTTATGCACCTGCCTTTATGCTGCTGTCCTAGAGTCCAGAGAGGGAGTCGGCTACTCCAGACCCCAGCCTTTAAGCCCTTAAACCCACCCATGCTCTTCTGTCAGTCTTTTTTTTTTTTTTAAGATTTATTTATTTGTTTTTATTGGAAAGGCAAATATAGAGGAGGAGAGACAGAGAGGAAGATCTGATGGTTTACTCCCCAAGCAACCGCATCGGCCAGAGCTGAGCCAATCCGAACCCAGGAGCCAGGAGCTTCTTCCAGGTCTCCCATGTGGGTACAGGGTCCCAAGATTTTGGGCCAAACTCGACTGCTTTCTCAGGCCATAAGCAGGGAGCTGGATGGGAAGCAGGGCCTCCGGGATTAGAACTGGTGCCCATTTGGGATCCTGGCGCATTCAAGGTGAAGACTTTAACCACTAGGCTATTGTGCAGGACTCCTCTGTCAGTCATTCTTAAGCAGAATGGGGTAGGCAGGTGTAGCAATCAAGAGGCAGAAATGCCTGCATCCCATATCCAAGTCCCTGCATGGGACCCCAGGTCCAGTATCACTTCCTGCTTCCTGCTAATGCGCACGCTGGGAAGCGGGCAGTAGGTGGTGCAGCTGCTTAGGTGCCTGCTGCACATGTGGGAGACGGGATTAAGATTGGGTTCTGGGCCCCTGGCTTTGTTGGCCTGTTCCTGAAACTAGTGAAGCAGCAGATAAAAAAAGTCACTCTTCTTTCTCCTCCTCTTCCTTTCAAATCATTTTATTAAAGATTTATTTTTCTTGGAAAAGCAGATTTACAAATAATTTTGTTATTGTTTAATTAATGAACAAAACATAATAAAGAGCCGGGCGGCGTGGCCTAGCGGCTTAAGTCCTCGCCTTGAACCTGCCAGGATCCCATATGGGCACCGGTTCTAATTCTGGCAGCCCTGCTTCCCATCCAGCTCCCTGTCTGTGGCCTGGGAAAGCAGTCGAGGATGGCCCAAAGCCTTGGGACCCTGCACCTGCATGGGAGACCCGGAAGAAGTTCCTGGATCCTGGCTTCGGATCGGCATAGCATCGGCCATTGCGCTCACTTGGGGAGTGAATCATCGGACGGAAGATCTTCTTCTCTCCTCCTCCTCTCTGTATTTCTGACTTTCCAATAAGTAAATGAATCTTAAAAACAAAACATAATAAAGACGTGTGTGAATGAGGGCTCTCGTGCGCCTGGCATCGTAGAGCGTTGTAGTCCCCACCTCTGACAAAAAAAGCTCCGGGGTAGGAATTGGGCCCCCATTTCCAGAAGCAGAAGCTTACAGAACCACCTGAAACTGGCTGACCACGTGCCCTGCCTCCCTCCCAGAGCCCAGGTCTTTCTCACTGAAAACATTCTCCCAGCCACCCCCACCCTCATCTTCTCTGTCTCCATATCAGCTCTCAGTCTCATCTGCTTGGTTCTCCTGGCACCTAAGCTAATTCCCTTCCCATTCCCCCCAACCCCTTCCCATCCCCACTCCCATCCTCTACCAACCTTCCCATCCCCTACTAACCCCCTTCCTGTCTCCCACTTGGCCCTGTGAACCTTCCCACCTCCATGTGTCTTCCTCCCTGCTTTACCCACAAACCGACTTAACCTTTTGCCTCCTGAAGTCTCCTAATCCACCATCGGCGCTGCCAGGTCCCCACCACTTGACCAAGCAGCAGTGTATCAGGTGCTCAAAAAAATA